TTTTTTCTGTGCACAGATTTAATACAAATATCTAAAGAGGATATGAACAAACTTTGAAGTCGCTACATCCTTACATTCGGGATATACAGTATATTTATTCTGACAATTAGAAATCCAAACTAATTGCAATATTGTCGGAAAAGCATGAAATTATTATTTATCTATCTATTTACAAGAATAAAAAAATTTGAAGTTACAATTCGCAAAATTTGAATACGAAGCTATTTAAATAGTTTGGACTGAAAAAACGTATAACTTTATTTTCATGGAATCACAAAATAAAGTAATTGGTAAAAATAAAGTATTTGTTCGCTATCATAAAGTAAAAAGTAGTAAATTCTTGCAGTACGGAACAGACCAATATTATCGTATATAACGTTGGATACATGTGCAAGGGTTTATATTATATCGTGGGAATACACTAAAAATCTGAAAGCCGTGAGCTGATCAGTATATTCAGATGGGACCGATTTTATAATACACACCATCTCCTCTAAACTCGATCTTTCTGCTCAGCTAATCGACATATGACAAATGGTATACTAAAAGGTGGGTCTAGGACCAATATTGCGAGGAGTTATAAACTCTTGGGCAACATAGTTGTGTAGGTTATCAAATTCCATCCTTGTGTTTGGCCCTTGTTAAAATATTTTAAAAAGTCTAAACCTTTAAAACAAAACCTTTTAACAATTTTTTATCCTTAAAAATATTTAAATGATTTAAATGGGCCTAGAAAACACCCCCAAATATCATCTGATGATCACCGAATTTTAGGCGTCATCCTTGACCATAACCTGAACTTTATGTTCTATTTCAAAGCGATCAGCGCGACATTTCCGCCCTTTGGTGTGGTTATGGCATTAATGAAGAATATCAGAATAGGTAGGTTCCTTTTTTCACAGAAAAGTCTGGGTCCATTTGACCAATCATCATCAAAATAACCATGTTTGTTCCTTGTTCAGATCCCTTTATCCGCGTAAAGTTTAGTGATTTTCGGGTCGTAATATGAACGTTTTTGGTCCATTGCATCCCCAAAAATAAACCAATCATTACCAAAAACAATAGGAGTCTTCATTGGCCCGAAACAGACTTACATACAAAATATCGTAACGATTTTTCCATAGCGGTGACTTGTACTTGTTTTGGCTGTATACATCAATTGTTTGTTTGCATCTATTTTTAACCCCACAGGGGTCACGCTTGAACGACAAACTCAACAAGTCGCAGCAAGGACAACAATCGTCTTCCATCCAATACGATTCCCTTAATGTAATCCGTCGCTTTAATGTGTGTTTACCTTCTTTTAGTCGCCGATTCATCTATGCACACATTTCACGGTCTATATACCGTTGCTAGTGGTATATGTAGCAATTGCCACTTCTACCCCATCATAAGGTCCAAGTCTACAATTTTCCTATGAGGAAAATATACAAAACACACCCACCCATTCTATATCTCCTCACAGATACATCAAACGAATTTTATACTTAATTGGGTATAAAATTAAATTAAACTTCTACCCTTTAACCTATACGTGAATGTGGATAAGTATATATATATATATATATATATTGTAGCTACAAACAAGGATGTTTGTTTATGTGTTGCTTGCGACGTTGATGCATAAAGGAATATTTGAATAAAAGACTCAATGAATTCTCAATCACTGATATGGCCGATGAACAGAAGGGTAGGCCATTCAAGGAAACGACTTTGAATAATGTTTATGTTAACAAGCATCCTTAAGCCGAACCACCATCGCAACTTGCACAACCACTACCAGATGAAGAACGGTAATGACCAACGACATTGGCAGATAGCTGAAAGACAGATTTAACACTCAAGTCTACATTTGTTACGTAATTAGTCGTCAACAAGTTGTAGAGTTTGTTGCACATTGCGTTCGGAAAATGCCTCCGAACGGTGTTCATTTCAATTGAATTTAATAAGGTATATGCAAGAATTACTTCATTTAAAACAACATTATTGTTATATGGTCTATTCCAACGACGTAGTCTGAAGGGGGAGGGGGGTCGGTCTCACCCAAAGTTAATTTTTTCCCAGTAAATTTATGTTTGCAACAGCGAGTTTTTTCATTTCGTTTCTAACTACCTGTTCTGGCTGCCTGGATCTGGCTGTTGGATCAATTTCGGAAAGGAAATGACTCTACCATGGTACAACTACACAAGGTATCTTTCATCAACAAAGAGAAATTACACCTCTACCTAGTTGGCTATAATGTCAGAATAAATAAAAACAAATGCAACAAGTCGTACTGTTCAATTTACATATTTTTAAATATTTTACTAAAAACGCGATATATGAATGGGATGTAAGATTTTATTTTCAAAATCGTGTTGGAACTATGATTTACATCAAGTCCTAAATTTCTTCTTAACAATGTCGCAAAACCACCTTAAATCATAGGTACTCTAAAACAAATTCTTAAAAATATAATATGTTAGATATTTTTAACATGTTTAAATCTGCATTACATCACGACTACTCAAATATCATAACCACTATTTGAACAAGTTATCATAAATAAATGATGTTAACACTTTAAAACATTTTGAATGTAATTATGCAGATGCACTGTAAAAACTTCGTGACATCGTGGCTACTCAAAAATCTGTTAGTGGGTGTTTTCAGTATTAGTTTCTTAGTAATATTATCTGGTAAATGAATACCAATGCATGTTAAGGTTTGTAACTTTGCACATATATATTTGAAGATTTAAAGAGGAAGAAAAATAATTTAAAAAAATTTTTGTTGTTGTTTTGTTGTTGTTTTTTGTGATCAAAGAAATGTCCTTATTTTTGATGGCGGCCATGATAACTCCTCACTGGAACATCGGAATCCGAATATTCTAACGATGTTAGAAAGTCTGGCTCTCGTATGAACTAGGATTATTGAATTCGCACAACAATTAACAAAATGGCGGAACTTTGATTTTTTTTTTCAAAAATCGCCTATTTTTGACAACAAACTAAGTTTAAAAATAAGGAAGATCTTTACCGATTGGCTTTTTTCTAGTTCATACGATAGCTATACACTCACAAAGAAACGTCCCAAAATTTGAAATCAATTGGTTTATTACTTTATGAGTTATCGTGCCCGCCATTCGTAAAAACGCTGTTTGGAGAAAAACGCGTTTAAAGCTTGAGAAGCCCTCTTGCTGTCACCTGATGCTAACACAGTAAATCGGCTATATCTTCAAAAATCGTTGAGATTTTCACTTGAAAATTTATAGGGACATTCTTGAATTAGCGTAGGTTCAAATTAAGGCGAAATAAAAAATTAAATTTTTTGAAACCGCGAATGGGTGGGGGGCCCTTAAATGACATTGACCCTAGTATTACTTACATTAAGGGAACCCCCCCCCATTCTCGATTTTTTTATTTTTAAGATTTTAAATGGGCTGGTAAATGAATACCAATGCTTGTTAAGGTTTGTAACTTGGCACATATATATTTGAAGATGTAAAAAGGAAGAAAAATAATTTACCAAAATTTGTTGTTGTTGTTTTGTTGTTGTTTTTTGGGTTCAAAGAAAAGTCCATATTTTCGATGGCGGGCATGATAACTCCTCACTGGAACATCGGAATCCGAAAATTCCAACTGTGTTAGAAAGAGGACATGTCTGGCTCTCGTATGAACTAGGATTATTGACTTCGCACAACAATTAACAAAATGGCGGAACTTTGAAATTTTTTTTTTGGAAAATCGCCTATTTTTTACCACGAACTAAGTTAAAAAATAAGGAAGATCTTCACCGATTGGCTTTATCCTAGTTCATACGAGAGCTACACACTCCCAGAGAAACGTGTCAAAATTTGAAACCGATTGGATTATTAGTTTCTGAGTTATCGTGCCCGCCATTCGTTTTGAGAAAAACGTGTTTAAAGTTTGAGAAGCCCTTTAGCCGTCACTTGATGCTGACACAATAAATCGGCTATATCTTCAAGAGTTCTTGAGATTTTCACTTGAAATTTTGTAGGAACATTCTAGAATTAGAGTAGATTCGAATTAAATCAAAAAAATTTTTGACACCGAGAATGGGGGGGGTCCCCTTAACAAATTTCCATGTGGTTGTTGTATCGCTTGTTATACAACAACGCTTGCTGTTACCTTATATAGTTATACCATGAATATGTATATATATAATTTGAATCTACACTGATTAAATTAACTTCTCATTGTTCTTCATAGGGAAAACTGCATCAGCAGAACAAGTGATTCGTAATATGAGGATATTAATTGTAGCAAGACTGTCAAACTTAATTTCTTTTAGAATCGAAATCTAAAATGTAAATATTTTTTAGAAATTGCAAGAAGATTTGCCGGGTACATTAAGGGAGCGTTATATATTTGTTTGCAGCTTTTGCGGCTTATTCGTTAAAATCGCTTATTTTCTTGAACCGAAAACTGAACACATACCTTAAGACGTGATTTTCTGACAGGGGCCTCAAAGACAATAAATCCATAGAGTTCAGTATGCCAAACACTTCATAATATTTATTAGCGGGAGATAGATCGGGATCCCCAGATACTTAAACCGTGCTTTGGAAAATATACCCCATTTATGTACCGCTTTAAACCAACCGATCTATTGTGCCGTTTATGAAAACACAAAATGCCATATCGGACTTGACACTGTATGTACAATTGTCCTATAATTTCGTAAATAAGTATTTGTTTTCTAGTCATTGGTTAAATTGGTACTAAAATTAAATAATTATTAGGCTAGGGCATAGCTAAATATATAGGCTGAAAATAACTTTTCTTTAAATCCCCTTGTTTTATCGAAGTAATATATTGGGCTTTATTACCACTCCACTTCGAAACCATTCACAACAAACTCTTTACAGTTATTCCATGAAATAAATAAAAAGTTCGGTACAACGGATTAATGTTCTTATTATGGCTATATTTGGCCGTAGAATGTGGACAATGCTGTTTTCAGTTGGCGACATAAAACTGGAACAATACATTGCCATTTTATTTTCGGGGCTTGCCTTTGATAATCATGTTGTCCATTGCACCGATGTTGGGGTCTGCGCTTGAAATGGGGCGTCTACCATCCGAATCATTACACAGATCGGAAATGCAAGACCGGTAATAGGTTTTGTATGTCGAATCCGTCACCACAGAATTGTATTCCTGAAATATGCAAAAACAATTCGTTTCATGTTTGTGTGTGTTCACATTCCAAACGTCTGTACTGATTCTATTTACTTGCAATTTATCTTCACACCCGCGCAGAAACGTTGCCACTTTGCCGTGTTCCCGCTGTAATAGAAAACCGAAGTTCGATTAAAATATCAATATATGTGGGTGTTGTGCATGGCACATATTGATGAATCACAATTACCACCAATTCCTGGCGAACAATAGTGCAGTACTTCTTGGTGCAGTTTGTTTGGTGTGTCGGCTTCACTATGCATGCGTCATCCACGCTGGCCCAGCTATAACTACAGGTGTAACACAGCAAGGCTAACAAAGTATGAACGTAACCACCAAAACGACAAAACGGAAATTGTGAATCTGCTGTCCTTGTTCATCTACTCATAATATAATGGTAAATGAACAGGGACAATGTTGAACGGGCATCCCCAAACAATAACTTTGAGTAGGAAATTGGAATGTATTTTTGGTTTTAGGAAGTAGGATTCTAATAATAGCAAAGAATGCCTGGGTTTACACTTGCAACTCTATGTATGCGGAAGAACTTCAAAATCGAATGTTAAAGAACATCAGCAGAGGTTTTAAACAAATATCGCTGTATTTAGCCCAAAACTTTGTATGTTAGAAAAATATACCAGTCTTACCTATCAAGCACGCATTTAATATGTGTCACTTTGAAGTAATAAATATGCATTACAACTGAAATTGGATTGATTTAAATCTATTTTTTATTAGCCTTGTGGGAAAATCAGCAAGGCCTTTCAACATACCAAAAATGTGGGGGCCCTAATTCGGTGAAATTTAAGAAAATGCAACTAAAAACAAAATACCAAAAATGGGCTGGTACTACTCTTAGGGAGTTATACCAAAACGTGAAGCGTTATGACAAACCACATAGAGTTGTGTAACAACTCTAACTCTAAATGTTACGAGCTCAATCGTGATTTCAAGAGACAGACTCACTTGAATAAATTGGCATAGATATTTATCCTGTTTATATGTATATATATATATATCGTGATTTCAAGAGACAGACTCACTTGAAGAAATCGGCATAGATATTTATCCTGTTTATACATATATATATATATATATATATCTAAAGTTCATCTAAAGTTTATGATACACTGAATTGTAAATAAAATTAAATGGAACAAAACTCAGTAGTAGGCAAAAGTTCATTCATTTCTACTATTTTAAATCGTTTTTGAGATAAAAACCATAATCTTTTTTACTGGAATACCATTCAGTCGGATATTAAAATATCGTCATTAGAAATCATTCATAATAATTTACAAATAAACATTTCCAACAAAATGTATATACATGAAGGTGTTTGCGTGTGTGTGCATTTTTTAAGAAAACCAAATTCTCGAAAGCAGATACTTATTAAACTGATTTCTCTCTAGGGGATATTGTCAGAATTTACGTAGCGATTCACAAAACAGCCATTCACCCGCCCACACACTGCCAACCCTTAATGTATACGTCATCACTACAAATAGACATTGAAAGATACGTTATTGCTCGCTGAACATAAAGACGCGTGCACTCTATTCTCTCACACACATTCAACTGAACCAATTGAAAAGCCATTGACACACACACAAAGACATATATGTTACTTTAGGAATATATGTCACACATACATATGCGTGTACGTACCATCCGCGACATATATGACGGAGACCATCGTACTGACCGTAAAAATTGCCACAACAAAACGATACATTTTTCCGCAAGTACACTGGCACTTATTCTGTCGCCTGTTGCTGTTTCTCACCAATAAGTCCACGACGAACTGACATCTGAGGACCACTAATCAATACCGTCAACAATTTGTCTTGCGACAATCGGCTGGTTGTTGATGTTATCAACGGCAGCACAAATATTGTTTATCTACTCGGCAATTGAGATACGATGTGAATCATATTTCCACTATAGAAAAAAATGAATGCACAGCCCCAAATCGATGTGACTGGAGTTGGAGTACTACTACATGTCTAGATAATGGCAACATGGCAGATAAAACCGCAGAGTTTTAGGGTACTCGAGTAACTTTAAAATTGTGGATAGTTTTTGAAGGCAAAATTAGGTAATTAGGTTTTTACATTTTATATTTTCCCCACTATGAAATCGTAGCTTTATAAAAACAGAGTTTAAGTCCGACTATTTTCTATAAAAAGCTAAATTCAAATATAATCAACCAACACTTTGTACAAATATGACCAAAATAATACTTACATCATAGATTATGTTCGATGTTGTGTCCACCATCACATATATGATATATAATCGAGTGAATTTGTGGAAGGTTTGGTTAGTACTTTAAATGTGCTAACGGTATTGAACAACAATTTCAACATTAATTGCCGTCAAACGACCACAACAACAATCGATAGTCCCATTGTTGCTCCCGCTAAAGAGATCCATTAAATTCATCTCGGGTAATTTTTTTATCATGGGAACTGCTGTTATATTCACCCAAACCATTTTTGGGCGTCGAATTCTGCGAATTGACACACAATTGTTCCACAATAAAGATTAAAATTGGAGTTATACACAACAAATTTATTTTGAGACCTTCTTCCTATCGCGTATAAATGTCTATTTATCCTGAAGATCTACACAACAATTAATTTGTACTCATTATTTTGGCCATATGTATAAATTGCCAGTCAATATCATAGAATGAAAATTAAATAACGCCAATTCACGTTTTCACAGTGAAGTGAGCCCCATCCATCAAATGTTAGTGATCCATTCACTTGGCAGATATTATTAACGATTGTATTTGAAAACATTCAGCACATGTAAGAAGGATCTGCAAGACATATATATATATATATATATGGGCAATATTGCCAATTTTTTAACATAGCTGAAGCGGAGGTTGATTGATCTGTCGTTGCAAACTGTTCAATGTATTGACCTCCAAACTTTATTTTGGTGGAAGCTGTGTCTACTTTAATGTAAAATGCACAGCTTCAGAGTAATACTCATCCGAAGGTGAAAATTTTGTGCGATCAAATTTCTAAAAAACCTATTTTTGGGTCCAAATTTTTAGATCTGTCAACTGAATGATATGGGTACCCGCGATCAATAAGGTTTTTTACGTTTCGGATGATATAAAATCTTCTTCGTGAAAATCCATCTACTAGAACGGCGGGAACTGGCCTTCCAAAAACACGAAATTTGGCAAAAAAAAATGTTTTTGAAAATATCGTCAATAAATGACCTCATACGGATTTTGATATTTTTCGAAAAGAGAACTTTAAAAACTTCAGCCGAAAGAGAGATGTACGCAATTTATCTCAAAAATAGATTGTGCTGGCACATCCATGGTTCTTAATGGACCACGTTGAAATGGTATAGATCGATGTATTTTTTTAGGGTGCACACCGAAATCGGATGCGCGTTAATGGCATATAGAGTTTTCGGAAATTATTCGCGTTTTACTATTTTTTGGGTACTTCAATGTAACGTGCGGCACATCTTAGCCGTCAAATGAAATTTCGCAAAATATATATGGATTGGAAGATAAACTTCAGTACTTCCTGGAAACCGCATGCGCATCAAATGATTTTGAGAATTACGCGATTTAGACGCAATTTATCTCAAAAATAGTTTGAGCTGGGACATCCATGGTTCTTAATGGACCACATTGAAATCGGTATAGATCGATGTATTTTTTAGGGTGCACACCGAAATCGGATGCTCGTTAATGGCATATGGTGTTTTCGGAAATTATTAGCCTTTTACGATTTTTTGGGTACTTCAATGTAACGTGTGGCACATCTTAACCGTCAAATGAAATTTCGCAAAATATATATGGATTGGAAGATAAACTTCAGTACTTCCTGGAAACCGCATGCGCATCAAATGATTTTGAGAATTACGCGATTTACACGCAATTTAAAATGTATATTTCATAATGTTTTATTTTAAGATTTATTCCTATTTATAGAATTATAAGATTTATCGGAAGGGTCTTGATATAATCCGCAAGGCGTATACTTATACACAGAAAGTGATTATTATATATCTCAATTTTTCGGCGAAATTCGGGTAAAATAGCAGAATAACCCCAACATTTTTTTCTGAAATTTCTTGTATACAATTAAAAAAATAAATATGATGATATTATTTTTTCGAACCAAAAACAAATATTTTTCCCCAATATCTTGTTTTGTTGTCGCTTCGATTTAGAAACCGCTACATGGACTTGTGTGATTTTGATATCATTTGACTCACCATGGTGTTTAGATTATGTTGATATTTTTAAATTAATTTTTAGGTGTGTGTATGTCATTAATATAATGAAAATATTGATGTAATCTGCTATATTTTTTTATTTTTTCATATTTCGCGAATATGTGCAACTTTATCGTGATTATTATAATATATTCATATTCTTATTTTACGGAGGAAGATATATATCAACGTTTTTGGTCAATATAATAAACGGCGTAATTTTAAGATTTTTTACTTATGCCCAAAATTAAAACCTCGATAACATTTGCGCGCATCAACCAAAAATTTGATCGCGAACGATTTCGGAGTCAGAACAATTTTCTCTATATGTGTGCCAAAAATCGTTGATGTGCCACAAAAACAAAAAAGCTGATTTTTTGAAAATGGAGTGTTAAAAAATTGGCAATATTGCCCATATACATATGTATATACATATGTAGACAATAGGAATTAAATATATTTTACTGAAGTCGTACCAGGATATAGTGCCGATCAAACAATTTCAGATTTATGCTCGTTGGAAGGGTGACATTTCGCAGTAGATGTTGAAGATGCATCGATAAAATTGGAGAAATGATCTATGTTGATCGGCAAGTTAGCAGTCGTAACATCGCCCCGGAGCTTACAATTAACATAACTCTTTTAACCCTACGGTCAATAACCGGGTACATTTGTACCTTTTTTTGAATAAAAATGCTGTAAAATTTTTAATAATGGAGATATAAATATTTTCCATATATATAATTTTTACAATTTTTTAAAGTTATTACCTACGTAGATCAATAACCGTGGTACATTTGTACCCATCCAGAGATAGCTCGGTAACTCATTAAACAATTGGATTATCGTTAGGTTTTTTGTTTTAAATTAGTCTATAGGGATCTGGTTTGGATGTAGGAACTCAAAATTATACATACATTAAAATAATATATATTTAAATCCATGCTTAAATGATAATCTATCTAAAACAATCATAGTAAATTCGTTATAGCTTTCGAATGGGTTAAGCTTTTTTAGTTATTTTTTTTTTATTGGGATCTTATTTAGGTGTTCCTCAACCCCTCTGCAAATATTTGTGACCCTAGACAACATAGGGCCATCAGGGCGACTCGTGGAAGTCAGAAACTACCTTGGTTTTCCTTTGGTATACAGGGACAAAAACAACGATTATTGTCCGTAATTTTCCAATTATTCTTCATATTGGACCTGAAACTTTTTCTATAATCTAATTAGTCTGATTTATTACAATCCTAAATTGGCCTACATATATTAACTATCATTAAATAACGTTTTAAAGTATTAAATAATGTTAAAAATGCGCCAATCACAATCTCAAATCTCATAAAATGTGAATAATTGGCAATAATAATTATTTTAGTCCCTATATACCAAAGGAAAACCAAGGTAGTTTCTGACTTTCACGAGTCGCCCTGATGGCCGCATGTTGTCTACGGCCACAAAAATTTGCAGAGGCGTTGGGGAACACCTAAATAAGATTCCAATAAAAAAAATAACTAAAAAAGCTTAACTCATTCGAAAGCTATAATGAATTTACTATTATTGTTTTAGATTGATTATCATTTAAGCATGGATTTAAATATATATTATTTTAATGAATATATAATTTTGAGTTCCTACATCTAGACCAGATCCGCATAGACTCATTTAAAACAAAAAACCTCAAGATAGTCCAATTTTTTAATGAGTTACCGAGCTATCTTTGGATGGGTACAAATGTACCACGGTTATTGATCTACGTATACTTTTTTGGTTATTGACCGTAGGGTTAAAGCATTTACAAAAAATAAAAAAATAATAATATATATGATAGGGGAATAATCTCCATATGGCATGGCTATCTTTTAGTGTATATATATATATATGGTACTTAAAATTAATATACAATAAATATCTCAACTTCTCTCTTTTAGAGCGGTAAAAACTCTCCCTGTTCAAGAGTATCAGGCGACTCAACTCAAACGCTGCCGATAGCACCGACTCGCAATGGAAACGGTAAGTCACACATCAAGCAGACGTATGTACATATATACGTGTTTAGATTTTATTTGTGTGTATATACATATTGGTTCTCAGAAAAATACATCGATATGCATCCATGTTATGGGCCATGCATTCTGTAGTAGTTTATTAGCATTTGGGTTATGTACAAAATGTTGCCTATTGATTGAAGCATGTTATATAAACTCGAATCATTCCAGATGCTGGCCTTCCCGCCAATACCTCCCCCACCCACTTCCAGTGTTTTAAAAGTGTTTCCCCAACAAAAACTGTAGTTAGCAAACACAAGGGCACGCCGAAAACTAGCATTCCCACTTCATATACCAGCACAAGGTCAGCCGCAGTTATGGCTCTGACTTTGCGAAGCCCAACAGCAACTGGCCAGGGATCGGTACTGAAGTGCTCCCCAAACTGTCGACAAAAGTCCACGGCCAACAGCTCTGTGGAATCTACATTCTCGACACAAAAGGAGCAACACATGTCCACTTCAGTGTCGGAGACTACGGAAGTTCGGCCCACGGCCGTAAGACAAAATGGCACTGGTGAGTTGTATTCGGGTGGTTCTAGCAGCTCTGACAATGACGGCGTATATAACTCCACCTCCTCGTCCGCTACGGCTTTACGTCGTTTCTACTTTAAAAGTGGTCGCAGCTCCAAAGCGAAAACCAGCGCAAAATCTTCCGCAACTACAAGCAACAAATTAACGAACAATTCTGCGGTCAGCAACACGACCCTCCTATACCATGCATCGATGGAGGGAACCCCTGTCACTCATAGCAGCCAAACAACGTCCAATAGTAAAACTGTACCCAAGGTTAGTAGCGCCGCCACTCTGCATTTTCCATTCACACATTCTGTACTAAGTTTAAATAATATTCCATTCCATTGCCGACAAACACCGGACACACCAGGTTGTAGTTATGGGATCGTCCACTGCCTCGATGTCCGACGCTATTATAAACACATCAACGGATTCAGCTTCGACAATGGTTACCAACGTTACGCAGACCGATACCTCTGAAACATGCGATTCTTTAGATTTAGGTAATGTATGTTCGTATACCACTTATGAGTGTGTTGTGTCTAGTGAGTAGCGAGCATGTAATTCCCGAGTCCCTTTCGGTCAGCAATGATTGTCATAAGATCTCACTGACTTTTGTTTCTTTGCAGGTGACAATTCAGGCCAAAGTGAACCAATATTCAGTTCATTAGAAGAACCCCTGCTCACTGCTATACAGATTGACTCCGAGCAAGAAATTACGGAATTTGAGTTGACAAGCTGTTCGTCATACTCGAGGCCTGATGTAATCCTTCGAGATAGTACTGAGGAGGTAAGTTTTGGGGAATGACGTTCTGCCACTTATTTTTCTTCGGGACGGACGAAATAAGTTTGACAAATTCCCCTGCACAAAGTTTGAGAAACCGATTATTATTTGTTGTCGTATCTTTGTTATCAGAGCCAAGAGTCGTGCCTTTCGATATTGACAGGCGACGTTGCATCTACAACACCATTATTAGCGTCATGCCGAAAGAATGCTACAATGTCGTCAAGTGCCACGAAGACAGATAAGCCGAGATTGCCCAGTACGGCGCCACCACCATCGAGTGAGGGCAAACACTTCACATTTGACCAGCCTCGGTCGCCCAAATCCGCTCGTTGCAGTGACAAGTCACGTACTTTGTTTACATTCCAAGACGAAGGAAGCTGTCCGCAACACAGAAAATACCAACAAAAACACAGCAAACAAGGATTGGAAAATGACTCATATGAGATGCAAACGTGTGTGGGCCACTTCTATGACGAACATACTAATTTCGACGAAACAGCAAGAAAGCCGAGGGACGAGACGACTACCAGGGAGCCCAATCGTTATGCAGCCCGCGCAACCATTGCCCCGCAAAGAACTAGTCCGAAGCGTGAGAGACGTCGTTCACCTTCGTCTGCAACTTCGAAAGTGAATTCAGCTCCGCCCACCATTAAAGACAGCCATTTTTTCGACAACTCGAATATGCCCATACGAAAGCAACTCTCTCCAACCTCGCAGGCACAACGCAAATATTCCTCTAGTTCGTCTTCCGGCGGCAGTGAGCGATACAAGGACAACATTATGTTCCCCTTTGACAGGGAGGCACTGGACTATGAGCGCATTCAGCGCGAATGTTTTGCCGTCAATGAAAATTCAAGCTCGTCAACAACCACCAGCGACACCGACGAAGCGGAAAATAGTTCCGTGTATGAGCGAACTAAGCGCTGCGATACCACCACCAATCCTGCCGATTTCTATCAACAATATACTCTCCTGTCGAAAACGGAACAAAAACAAATATCCCGCAAGAACTCCAAACGTTTGCGTTCAGATTCCATCGCACAAAAATATGTACCCAAATCGGATGCTTTCTGTCCAAAATCGATTAACAGTTCTCCCACCCACGTCCACCATTCACCCAACTCCCACATAGAACTGAGAAAGTTCGAAGATATAGCCTCGAAATTCGAACAAATGGCACCCAAACATGGGTCCATTTCAAACCTCGCCATAAAACCACCCAGTCCCAACGCCAGCAATTTGAAGAATTTGCCGAACAACAGCAACAATGAATGCCTCTCACCAGCTAACAGCAGTCCGAGTCATTCACGCAGCACTACACCACCCCTCCCCAATGTGCGAGTAGACTTCTTTGCGGAGAAAATTCCGCCAATGCACTCGCGAAAGATATCGTTTAAAAATAAAACGAATGTTGTCATCCCAGCCATTGAGGAAATCGAAAGTGCTGCCTCTGGCAATCCAGCAGCGCACGACTTTTTGGGTGACTGCCAATACAACGCTAAATCTGCCTTGCCTTGCCCCAATAATGGTGCTATTCACGTTGCAACAACCCACACAACTGGCGGGCCCATAAATGTGACAGCCAATCCTTTGGAAACTACTGCTGTATGTCCGCAGCCACCACGGGCCACAATTGTAGTACAACAAGTAAGTATACTATTATAGATCGATTCCTAAATCTCAACTGCTACATATGTACACACACACACACAAGTGCATCTAAATTAAAATCGACCACACGCTGCTACAATCACACCCATGTACACATACCATGTCTACATTAAAAGGAAACGGGGAATTACTTTCACGTCCCCATAAAAAAGAGTGAAAACAACACGAAACTGAAATTAATTGGAAAATATAATTTCCAAAGAGTGGGACTGAATTGTGCACTGGATTGGTTGGTTATGCGCGATACTTGTATATGTCTTATTAAAGGGAATCTGGTCCAGTTCTGCTCGAAATTCATAGGAAAAAATACATTCCTTCGAATGGGTACTGAATTGTACACTGGATTGGTCGGTTCTGTGTAAGACATGTATGGGCATTCGTTGAGGAAATCTGGTCCAATTCTGTTCGAGAAAGCGTAGCAAATAATAACGTAAATATGACAATAATTTAACCACATGTACAACAGAGCCATAGTACACAGCGATTTAAATAGCTTAGGCTGGACCGTTATGTGACTGTGTACTCTGTCCGGGTCTACACTGAAGAAAGTTCACGAAATAAATTATATGAATTTGTGAGTTCATAGATCGATTACTACACTTGATTGTACTGAGGAACGGTATCTACGAATGCCTAATTCGATGTAATTTATTTCATGAAATTACCCATGTGTGGGCCGGGACTATAGATAGTAAAGTGTCAAATAGAATGAAAATATAATTAACACATCCAAGTTGTCTCGAATCGTTGGTACTTCGAATACTATATTGAGAGACAAAAGAGAATATCCCAATCTCTGGTGGCTCGTTGGAAATTTCACTTGTAAATGGTGTATTTTTGGAAAATGTTTATAACGAATGTTGTCACTATAGACTATTTTCCACGAAAAAAATCCCCTGACCGTTCTCTCTCGCCAGGCCGTTTCGTTCATCCCAATGGCGAAGATCTTTTCTTCGCACAATCAGGCCAAAATGTAATTCATATAAAAGTGGCAGCCGTTCTGCGATCTCTTATTATTTGTTTACGATACGTGGTTCAAGGCACACATGCCCAACCGTTTGGCAAAAATATATATTTAACAAAAAAAAAAAAAAACAACAACAAATATAAAAAAATATTAAAATCAGAAAATAAATAAATTGGAAAAAGTACGAAGAAAATTTATCTGTGGGAATTGTTTGCGGTATATCAACATCGATAGTATTTGAATTAGCATTGAAGTGTTTATTGTCCAAACAAAAAAACGTCAACAAATCCAAAAAAAAACACCAAAACATAAACAAATTTTGAATTTATAAATGTAAAAGGCATCGTGAGTGAATCACTATAATCTACTATGACGACGTTATATAAAATCATATGTAAAAAAATTTCCTTTAGAAAAAAGGTAAGTGAATGCAGACATATGCCTAGGGTTATGTTGAGTAAAAAAACCCCGGCATATAAATATACTTTCGTATGACAAGGGCGAGGTCATTGAGACTTAAAATAAATGCGCCACAAAACAGAATTTATAAAAGTATGTTGAATAAATATATTAGGGTTATGCATTTTTTACAACCTAGTATCCCTGTATCACATTCTGATGAGTATTTACCCAAGATAAACATTTTATGACAACCCTACGCACAAAATCATTCGAATTTTAATTTTAAGAGAATTTATAGGAATTTTTGAAAAATTTGCGAATCGCTGCAATCAAATATATACGTTTTGTCTGCGTACTTCTCCAGTAATGATTACTCTGTTAGTTCTGTCGCGAGAATTAGAGATAGATTCTTCCTCTTCGAAAAATAAAATTACAAAACATTTTGTGCAAAATTTCAAAAAAAAATATATACATAAGTAAATAATTCCAAGATGTAATAATTCGAATAAAAGGAGGTTAGCCTTGCTGTCAACCACAAAGGACAGTACAGACTTGTATGGATTGCAACAGGTTTGCCACAAAACTTATTATACCAACAAACTAAATGAAAGTGCCTACCTTTGAAATGTTCGCATATCATGTGTTCTGTGGCGAAAATTGCTAAATCATTTATATTTATAAATATTTTGAAGTTTTCTGCTTCTAAAACTTACAAATATAAGTTGTAACAACCATGGTTAAATCTTGAGAGCAATGTGCAGCTTTAGAAAATATATTTTGTTTAATTTGTCGAGGCTTAAATGAAATCCCTTTGCTTTGTTTAAAAATGGATATATTTCTACATATAACCAAAACCATATAATTGGGAACTACGTACACGACAATCGGAAAAAGATTGTATTTTAAAAAAGTTTAAACCCAATTATATTTTTAAAAATGCATTGTGTTGTAAAAACTGCTTTTAAAGAATTTTGTTTATTTTTTGTACAAGGTCATAGGCAGTCATAGGTTTAATTTTTTTCATAAATTTACATTTGACAACATTCAGATTTCAATATTTAAATGACATGTTCAGCTTTCTATATATATATATATATAAGTTGTAACATCCATAGTTAAATCTTACTATGAATTTCTCAAATAAGATTACCTTGAATAATTACGTCATGCGTATATCATTCGAAATGCCAGATTCATGATATAATTAATTATTGAAGGTGGTCTCATTTGCTTAATTGGTGATGGCAACCCCAATGATTTCGCCATTTTCAAATAAAATTTGTATTTAAAATCGTAACCATTTACGTACGGCGAATGACACATTTGAAAATATTAGTTCCGTATCAGAACCTAAAAGATTCTACTCATGTTACATGTTTTGCAACTTTTTACTCGAAAATCGTTCCTCAACCCACAAAACTGGTAAAGCATTGACTCAAATTTAAGAGAGCGCAAAACAAAATTGCGTTCTCTTTGTAAACTTTTTACTCGAGAAATTTGGTCGAGTAAAAATGGTAAACAGGAATGCCTTCTTTTGATTGACTGTTATGTTGATTTTGAAGTATTGCCATCTAATTTTGGTATATTTACTAGATTTGCGTTCCCGAACTTTTCAAATTATATTGTACTCTGAGAGCAGAGGAAAGTAAAATAATAAGAAGAAATGGACTATATAGAGTATGTCTTTATATAAATATAAGAAAATCATATATTAGTATTTATTACAATTGGTCTGTTCCAGTACTTTTTTAATAGTAAATCTAGTAAAAGGGAAACATTTCAACCTTTTACTAGATTTACTATTAAAAAAGTACTGGAACTTTTCAAATTATTTTGTACTCTGAGAGCAGAGGAAAGTAAAATAATAAGAAGAAATGGACTATATAGAGTATGTCTTTATATAAATATAAGAAAACCATATATTAGTATTTATTATAATTGGTCTGTTCCAGTACTTTTTTAATAGTAAATCTAGTAAAAGGTAAACATTTCAACCTTTTACTAGATTTACTATTAAAAAAGTACTGGAACAGACCAATTGTAATAAATAATAATATATGGTTTTCTTATATTTATATAAAGACATACTCTATATAGTGCATTTCTTTTTATTATTTTACTTTCCTCTGTCCTTATTGAAAGATTTGAATGAGAAAATGTCAAGGCAGGACAAATAATGTTATCTATAAATATAAAATCCGTTATTGCATAAGGATATGTATATCCTGTCAACCACCTGTTCAACCATAACAAAGTAATTACTTCCAGACGAACGTGCATGGCATGATTATTCAAGGTAGTCTCATTTTAGAAATGGATAATGACAAGCCTTTTTAATATGTAACTCATACATCAATTTCAAATAAAATAAAAAATAAATTCCATAAAAAATTAAAAATGATTATTTTCTAAGGCTGCAAATTGTTATGAAGATGTGAGTTTTAGATATATATATATATATATATATATATATATTGTTATGAAGATGTGAGTTTTATTTTATTTTTGCAAAATAGTCAGGCTTAATCACAGTTTGTTGTTTTTATAAAAAACAACTATTTATTAGTGGGGAATGTATGGCATTGTCCGCCGAGGGGTAAGGCAGGGAAGACTATAGTTTCGGATCTCGCCACTGATCCTCATCAGTTCCCTTAGTTTTTTGTTAGGATATTCTCCCCAGAAGCTATTAATAGCTTCTTTACAAAAAACCTTTCAAACCCAAATGTCTCTTGTGACGATTCGAAGTTCTTACGTTACCAGCGATACCGCCCCAATGCGAAGTTCGTTTCGTTGGCGCCTGCCTTACCCCTCGGCGGACAATGCCATACATTCCCCACTAAATATATATATATATATATATATTATATATATATATATATATGTGGGAAATTACAAAAATCAATTTTTTTTTTTTTTTTTTTGAAATTTCGATTTTTTAGTATGGTTAAGAGGATACTATTTTGCCATAATCTTCTGAAATATACGACGCTTTCTTCTGCAAATTCTTTTAGATGATTGTTAAATATCGGTGAATTCATCTAATAAGAGTTTTGTCATTAAAAGTGACTAAATATATTGCACTTACAATTCATAAAAATGATCAATATTGAAAAGCACGCGTATTAGTTGAAATCAGTTGATGCGCATGCGGTTTTCGTATAAACAGAATCAATCTCTTCCAATAATTATGCATTTTTCGAGGTTTCATTAAGCGGCCAAAGTGTGCCGCTCGAAGCACTTTACTATTCAAAACCCGCAAAAATGACTAAAAATGGCGCAACGTGCATACGATTTTTATGCGCATTCGATTTCAGTAATCTCCTATGAAAATACACAAAAGGACACCTATTTTAAAAGGATCGGTTAAGAACCGCGGATGTGCCTCCACAATCGATTTTTGATCAAATACGTATATTATTCGCGTGCCGATATATTTTTGACCTATTTTCACACAGATTCGCGAATATGATAACACAAGAATGAATGTATGTGAAATCAATTCGAAGGAATCCGCGATTATATACGCGAATTTGTCAAAATAAGTTTTTACAGTTTTTGCCACATTCAAGGTACCTATATCCGCTGTTTTATTGGGCGGAATTGAACATGGATGGGCTTATTAGATCCGGCACGTAAAAAAACTAAAATCACGCGGGGTTCCACGAAAATTTTAATCTACTTTCTTATATTAGGACTCAAAAAATAGGTTTTTTATACAAATTTACGCACCAAATTTTCGTCTTTGGAATCCAATTGCAAATAAGCTACGGTGAGCACATTCATGAGATATACACCAAACAAACCAAAATTACGAGTTCTACAATCCTATAATCAGTTTAGTCCATTATCTGGATGCGCGTCCTAATTTGAAGAAAAATTCAAAAAACACCGAAAATCCGTCTTCAAAATGTTAGCATTCATTTTAGGTGGATGCAGTGATTATATCGAAAATTCATACATTAGAACCATATTGTCCATGGGGTATTCTGCAACTTAGTCACTGATCACATGTGCGTGCGTTGTGTAGTTTAGCCACAAATCAGGAAGGAACACAAAAAAACTCTTTGGCTTCAACACATTTTCACCCATTTTACATTTACATTACCACCATCACAGCTTCCACGCATCTAATTATTTATTTTAAGATTTTGACAAGAACACTTCATTTTATAGAAATGAATTTAAATTTTATTTTTATGTTCATATTTCGCGATTTATAACCTTGCAAACCTCAGTTTCAAGGAATTTAAAAGATTTTTGTAATTTCCCATATATATATATATATATATATATATAAAATTGTTATCAGTTGGTAGCTGTGTGCTACTTTCTAATAATTATACCATCATTTTCGTACACAAATTATTTGGTGGCAACTTTGAAAATAATTATTCTTCAGCAGATTAAAAGGGTTTCATTTTCAAAAAAAAATATTTTGATTTTCAGTCGTGTTGGCGGGTAATTTGGGATTAGTTGGGAATGTATGACATTTTCATAATGATTTTGTTTCATTATCGTTTCATGTTGTTTCAACACGATTTAACAGTAAAATTAAAATAACATTTTTTTTTCTAAAAATAACACGAAATCATGTTAATGTAACTGTGTTGTTCTAGTTGAATCAATGTGATTATCATTTTGAAATAATTAACATTAACATTTTTAAAAGTTAAAATAACAAGAATTCATGTTGGATTAATACGAATTTAATGTTGAATTAATTATGAAATCATATTAAAATAACATGAAGACATGTTGAAATGATATGAAACCCGAATTAAAACCACTGGGAATTTCATGTTGAAATATATTTATTATATATTTATTCATGTCGAAATGTTATGTATATTTTGGTTACTTATTTATTATTTTCATTTGTAAAATTTAAGCTTTTATTAAGTTTACATATATTTATTTCATATATATATATATATATATATATATATATGTTGTCATCATTAATATGGAATAGATGTAGATGAGATGTATGTTTTAAAAGTTTACCTTAGACTACTTAGAATTAGCAAATGATGTTGATAAGGATAAAGTCGGCGATGGTCTTGTACTAACATTAGATTATAGCTGTTTTTTTTTTTTTTTTTTTTGTTTTGTATTTTTATTTTAACGTAAACATTTTAAAACTTTTTTCTACATTTGATGCGAAAGCGAATGTAAAATCAAAATTGCAAAATGTTGATTTTACATTCGCTTTTTTTCTGTGTGTACTTCCGTTACCAGCGATACCACCTCACTGTGAAGTTCGTTGGTGTCATCACTTTGCGACGAATGCACATAACGTTGTTGTTGGTATTGCTAGTTAAAGCAATAATCCAAACAGTTTGAGCATACATGCGTCTACAACTTCACAAGTGTTGGTGGGTAATTTGGGTACCATTTTAATTCTGTTTTTGCAAAATAATCAGGCTTAATTCCAGTTTGTTGTTTTTATATAAAAAAAAAACATTTATTAGTGGTGAAAATTTCTTCATGCATTCCCAGTAGTTTGATATTTATTGAACAACTGGGTCATTTTTGTGAAGGTTAAAATGACATTTGATAGATTGACGAGTCTACTTACTACACACTTTTAAATCCCACCCGTGCACAAGGGTTCATCGGCCTTAGCAGTACGGTAGTAGGGACCATAACTGCGTGTGTCATACATATGAACACGTCATATGTACTGCAAGAATGAATGAAGAAAGAAAAACACATCCAAAACACAACACAATTCATAATTTGTAGAATAATTTACTTGAAACTCCTTTTTAAACTCTGAAATTGTCCAAATCAAAACTAAAACGCGAAAAATGAATGAAAGGTTATGATTTCTTCCCAAAATCCAGTAGGGATACCATCAAATGTTTGTTTCATCCATAACAAAGTAATTACTTCCCGAAGAGCGTGTTAAAAATATAATTTTCATTTCAATTAAACTTGAATATATTTCAATATATTTTGAATTTATCCCAGTTGTTCAATAAATATCAATGGTCTGCTTATGTATACTTATATAACTAGTTACTATGTTATCTAGTTACTTTATACCCAAAAATGGAACACAAAATATACTATTGACTTCATTTGTTGATTGAAAACGTTTCTATTTATGTAGTTACTGGTAATGCGAAAAGTAATGAATCGAAAAAAGCAAAACAGAAAAAAAAAAACAATTGTCATTTTCTTTAGACTTTATAATTTTTTGAATTGTGAAAGCAAATGTTTAATAAAAATGTGTGTTTTATACAAAAATATAAGCAATCAATATTCACGATGTTGAAGATGAAGTGCCGTTTAAATAAAAATTTAAGAATCTAAAATGCATTTGTTGAATCTAAGGTAAGTTCTGGTTTTGCGACACAATAAATACATACGTAATTTTTGTAAACAAAATTATTGTACAGATTTTCAATAGATGTCATCCAACAGATTGGGGGAACAAATAAAAGTTTGAAATACATAGGTAAAAATTCTCCAAAAGCTTCTACTTAACAGACCCATATCTTTAGAAATATTTTGTAATTTTCTATTTCAGATGCTTCAATATTTCATAGAGGACAGATGCGAAAAACAGTCGAGAGACAAAAGAAATAGAAAAATGGTGGTGTGAAAAATCAGATATTATTATGCCGAAATATATATTGTACAACATAATTATGAAATAAATAAAAAATATGTATTCAAAATAACTTTTATATTTTCAATTTGCTATATATAACTAGGAATATAACTAAATATTGACTTCCCCAATGACATAACCATATTAAATTCACCAGTCTAGGGCATTGAAGTGGTAACTAGTGGTAGTTACAGGTAATTAGAAAAATATCTAGTTCATAACTAGTTACTCGAACTACTGGGATTTGACATAGTATTCAAACAATACACACCTTGTAATAATTATACCATGGTCCAAATGTGCTTCACAAAGACGATATAAATTGATATTGAATTGAATGTTGAAAAAATATTAATATTTTCGTTTTGACGTCTAACATATTTTTGTATATATGTATAGGTTTCAAAACCTGATTTGACAGCAAACTTACTGTGCTTACTGTCCGACCCATGGTATAATAATAGAAGCTAACAGCAAGTGTTGTTGTACAAAAATCGATACAACAACCACATGGAAATTTGTTGTTGTAAGTTCTACTAGTGTCAACTCATTTGACAGAAAAATGTAAACAAACAAATTATCATCAATTTATTTTTATTTTGAAAATGAAATATTTTCGAATCCTCAAAATAAAAATTGAAAAACATGAATGAAAATCTATCAATTTTATATTTCTATCGCTTCCACATCTTTCCTATAATTGAGCCATTGCCATATATATGTGTAACACATATGAAAATGCAGGGAATAGCGAGTTATTCCTTGAAGAAAGATTTGCTTCCTCAAACTTCCCAGCAGGCAGATTGAGTAAGTTGAATACGGGAGCACATTTAATAAAGAACAATTACAAATTGTATGCGTTCCCAATTTTCCTGTTGGGTGATTTTTAAAAACATAATTTGTCAAATTCATATTGACACTAGTATTACGTTGGAATCAAATCAGCTGGGACTTGCTGTTACCTTTTATAATTGTACCATGGGTAGTGCCATGGAATTTAGGTAACGTTGTTATACAGGCCTTGTCATATATCAATTTCAATTAAATTTCCATTAAATTGTGTGTATGTCGTTTGACATATTTTCAATAAATTAAAAATTTATATTTTCTAAAGCTGCACATTGTTCTCTAGATGTAAAATTTGGATGTTACAACTTTTATAGGTTTTACAACTTGTATTTATAGGTTTTAGAAGCAGGGATTCTCAAATAATTTAGCAATTTTTGCCACTAAACACATACTATCCATACATTCCGAAGGAAGGGTTTTCATTTAAATTGTGAAAACTGAATGTTGCCAAAAGTAAATTTATGAAAAAATTGGAAACATATGACTGCATGAAACTACCTAATATTCGATTTCAAATTATGCCGTTTTTATTTGTTCTTTGCAGCCATCGCTTAGTTTAGACAGTACAATTGAAACCGTATTGATAAAAAGCGAAAACGATTTCATTAGTGTGGAACAAGATAAGGAACCACAAAATGCTACGTCAGTGAACGTACGCAAACGCAACTCGCATCAACTAAATCAGGCACCGGTCGTCGTAGGCCAACATTACCAACAACAAAAGCGTGATGACAACATTAGACAACTGTTGGACGTTACCAATACCCTAACACTCGAGGAGTTGAGAGATTTTGAAATGAGGTAAGACTATCGTTGAAGTCGGACATTAGTGTCTATGAAACCGCAACGCTTTATTTGCTTCAGATATGGCTCACCACACCACAGCCGTTCACAGTCTGTGAAAACGCCGGGAAGTCGGGCGTCGGGTAGGCCAAATCAATTGTGCCTGCCGCAACAACGTTCAAGGTATGTATTTCAAGGCTCGGCAATGACATTGGCCAGCGTTTGGCAATATTAATACATAGACTTATTGTGTATAAATCGTTTCTTATTCGTCCTTTACAAAATGCAATTTCCTTCGGTGGAATAGAGTGGCGTCAATGCCCAACACTGGCGTCGAAGAGGAATACTACAGACTAAGGCATTTCTCAATAACAGGCAAAGGTGTAATAAATCGTGGCGATTCACTAAAGAGCCGTCGCAGTCGATCAAACAACAGTGTAGCCAGCTCGAATTCCAGGTGAGTCGTCACAAAGGGTCGACACTCGTTTCAGTGTCTTTAAACTATTGTAATTTTAGCAATGAACATCTAACCGCACCCCCTCCAGTAACGCAATCAACTCGTAATTCCGCCACACATAGTTTGGCCTCAAGCCGGGAAAGTAGCACTTCGAATCCTGGCAATGGGCCTTACAGGTACAACCTCGCCCTTGCAGTGACTATTCGATTCCATGCGACTTATAAAAATGTGTTCTTCTTACAGAGTACTCATGATGGGTGGCCCAGCTGTGGGTAAAAGTTCCCTTGTTTCGCAATTTATGACATCAGAATATCTACATGCCTACGATACCAGCATCGGTAAGTGTACAACAGAAGTTTTCATTTGGACTCATCATGAGCATTGCATTTTTATAGTTTATATTAATTTGGCCGTTTCATTGTTTCCATATGTTGTGATGATTCTGAAAGCCAATCTCATTTCGAAGCCTTTGTTATTCGTATGGGTATGCGAATGAATAATCATTGGACGTGCACTTAAATGGCGGGTGTGTGTATCAGCACATATTCAATTCCAAATCCATATGCGCATTTGCCTGTATTGAATAGGCCTTTGTCAGAGAATTAATGTGTCTCTAACTCTGGGATAGCAAGCAGTATAAACATTTGCGATGGATCAATTCTATTACATTGTGTACCTAATACAGTAAAATCCTGATAATTCCTAACCCCGCTAATTCGTAAACCCCGCTTATTCGTAACAAAATCCAAGTCGCTTGAAGATATCGCGATAATTCGTAAAAATTCCATACATTTCGGTCCCCTCGATAATTCGTAAAATGTTTCAATATTCGAAAACCTCGATAATTCGTAAACTTCGAGTGTTTTGTTTTGTGCATTTGATGTAGCGGGAACGCCGCATTCTTTGGAGAAAAAGCGAGTTTCTTGTGCTCATCGTACGGCATTCACGGTAAACTGAAGTGGCAAAACATGTTTTTATGTCTTTTTCTCCAGCTCTCATTGTTCTAACGTTGATCGCATTTTTCTGCATCTCAGTGAATTTAATTTGAATGCCACAAAACGGTCGCATAAAGCTTGTGAGCATTAATGCAGTGAATAATATCGAATTTGTCATGGCAAGTCGCTACCACATCTCTCCGTCTATCCTCGTGGAGCTTGAGCAATCACTTGTCGCATGGTTTCGCCAAAGCCGTCTAACGAATGTGCCAATTGGAGGACGGAAAAAGCGAAAACGTTTGCCTCTACGTATATTCATGAGTAAATAAAAACCTCGGTAATTCCTAGTTTTTCTTTTCAAAATCGTGTTGGGAGTATGATTTTGATATTGATTCATCCACAAGTCGTAAATTTCTTTTTACCAATGTTGTAAAATTCATCTTTAAACAAGTTTAACGTATCACGGTCAATTTTATTTCCAACCATTCCGACCGAGTCAAGTAATTTTTTAAACTACCCAGAGTGATGAAAACCACACACTTTGCCATAAATGTGCTGCGCTTCACCCATCCTTTCCTGATTTCCTTCACTCATTCGACCGTTGAAACTGCTCTAACATAGCGTAATTGAAATCTATAATCACATACATATGCAGGTCTGTTCAGTTCCTCCCTGTTACACTTTTCTGTCTGTTATGTCTTTGTTTTCAATTCTAAACCTAAACGCAATAACAATTGTCCTTTTTAAATATCCCGAAATCTACTTTACATCATATCCAAGCAACACAATCACCATCTACACATTGTGGACGACTAGCAGGCAATTGTAACATTCTGATACACATTGAAAAGCCAGTTGACGGTAAAAAATGAAGCTAAGCTCATAAAAATATACACCATTTATTCTGAGTAGCCTCAACTGCTTGCATCCACATGTACATACATAATGCATTCAAACATTTGTCCCATTGATTACGATTTCGAACAATTTTTTTTTTTTTTTTTTGGCACGCTTATTACGTATCGAAATTCTGCACGAAGAATGTATAAAGTAAAATTTATGTATGTATATTGTACTGCTATCATTTGAATTACTCGTTCGACAACCTTTTCCATTTCCATAAGAGCACCAGCATATTTAATGCCGGATTGGCAAAATGTATAGAGTAAAGAATAGTGAGGTATTAAAATCGAAAACAATAACGGATTTCAACTCCATTGGATGAAGAGAATAAGCCACTTATTGAGAATAATGACTGAAAACACACATCTAGGTTGCAAATCCATTGAGGTACAGGTATTGGGTTGGCCTGCACAATCCTCAGTTCTCAATCCCATAGAACATTTATAGGAAATTGTATACACCAAGGGACCGTTCAAGTATTACGTAAGCAGATTTATTGCAATTATTTATCTCCTCCTCCCCCTTGTCATCAAACGTAAGCATAGCTCTTAACCCAAAATAAGTAAAAGCGACACAATATTTTTATAGAACTTTTTTTGTTTTCTAGCGGCAATTGTTAGTTTGCGAGAAATGGTTGGCACTTCCATATACAGTGGCTCCATCGAATAATCGGACAAGTGGTTGCCAGATATAATAATGCTATACATTTCAAAAAAATTGTCTAAATGTGTAGTTTTTTTCGCTTTTATTTACACATTACTTACTTATATTTCTGAACAATACAAAAAAACAACAACTTTTCTAGTGATAACAGTAAATTTCGTCAGAAAAACAAAATTAACTCAATTTATTGTGTTCAACGCAAAATCGGACAAAGCAAAGTATCAATGTTAAAAAAATAAAAAAAATCGAAAAATTAATATTTAGTTGCATATCCTTTGTTGTCCAGAACGGCCTGTAAACGCTTCGGTATTGATTTGACCAAATTCTGGCATACCTCCGGCTCTATGGAGTTCCACGATTCCAGTAAAGCCACCTTAAGCTGTACCAAGGAGTTAAATTTTTTTCCATACACTCTCCTAGCTAATTCTTCCCAAAGATGCACAATTACGTTAAGGTCTGGGCTCTGTGCTGGTGTTTGTATAAGTTTTGGGGAGTTATGGATCAACCAAAGCTTTGCAACACCTGATGTGTGCTTGGGATCGTTGTCTTGATAAAAGGCAAAGTTGTTCGCGATTCCCAATTTGTCTGCACTTTGCTTTACATTTTGTTTTAAAATGTTGAGGTAGACAAAATTGTCCATTTTACCATCAATAAAATGCAAATTGCCTACTCCCGCACTCGACATGCAGCCCCAAACCATAACAGAACCTCCTCCGTGCTTAACAGTGGCTTTTGTATTCTTATGATTAAATTCAGCATTTGGCTTACGCCACACATACATCTTTCCATCTGACCCGTGCAAGTTAAATTTGCTTTCGTCAGTAAACAGAACCTTAATATAATGAAAACTATCAATAGAAATGCATTTTAAGATGATCTATCATCAAATTACCTGCTTCCAAAAATCTTCTGGTTTTAGTAAATACTCCTTTTGTCCGATTATGCGATGGAGCCACTGTATATATATATGCATGAAGAATGTTGCGTATTATATAGATATCTATTAAAATTACATCTATGTTAATATATTCCCCACCTAATGCACTTGATGGAAAAAGTACAACACACAGCTACATGTATACGAGCAGGAGAGCGACTCTCTAAGTTTTCACCCACTTAATTGGCGATACAGAATGTTTGTATTAGTAAAAAATATCTATCTGATGATTTCAAATATCACGTAATTTTTCCACTGGACTCAATAAATATGAATACCCCCAATTATAAGATTCTCCCGAAACATAAAAAATGCCTTTTAATTTTTTAATTCATTTTGTTTTTTTTTTCATCAGAAAATAATTTTTTTTTTTTATTTGCAATTGCTAAATCGAACTGAATTTACCAGTAAGTAAGGTCAGTAAGTTCTCAGCATAGAATTGACAAACTAGGTCCCTCATTTCGCTCTCTTTTACTGGATGTTGGAATAAACAGAAAGTAACATTTGGTAATAATTGTTAGTAAATATCCAGTAAGCAGACACAACTTATATTTTGCATTGCTTATTTGTTAATGTGTCACCAGATAGTAATTATGCATACACCTTGACATATACAGTCGAGTACTGTTATAGCGAACTAGTAGGGACCTAATTTGCTAGGTCCATAGGCTTAAGAGAACAAATACATCTTCTGGACGACCGTTTGCATTTGAGGTGACGATAAATATTTTTTAGCTCATAAATAATTTTATATCAGTGATTACATGTTAATATTCTGTAATAGGTTATTGTTAAACATTCCTGGATGCACCTGTGTTTATCAACATCAATTGAATGCAATTTCTTAAAATGTTTCATTTGTGCTGTGTCACGCTTGACTTTGGTTAAAATAACTACGTCGTTATGTTTCACATTAAAAGTAAAATTAAATTCTACCAGTTCCGCCTTCTACCAGTTCCTATGTACGTTAAAAAGTATGGCTCTTCTGACGCATGCTACCACTTTCATTCACATTATGAATAGTCCCGTTGAATGTTAAAATTTACGTTTAATTGTTCTATATGTCTTATTCAAATACAGATGATGATTCTGGTGAGAAGTCGGTATCAGTATTATTAAGCGGAGAAGAATCGGAATTGATATTCATCGATCATCCCTACGCTGAAATGACGGTAACGGAAAATGGATTTGGTTTCATAAATATGTTTGTACTTATCCGTATTTCTTTTAAACACAGCCCGATGATTGTTTGTCCTGCTACGATCCACATGGATATTGTGTTATATATTCAGCATCGGATCGTGATAGCTTTAATGTTGCTGAGCATATTTTGCAAATCTTATGGACAAATCAAAATATTGCCCAAAAAGCCGTGATTCTGGTAGCTAATAAAGCCGATCTGGCACGCAGCCGTTCAGTCAGCGCCGACGGTGGGTAGCTATTGCATAGCTCGTATTGTAAAAAAATCTATTTTAAAGTCGAAGAACCATTAAAACAACGATTAATAAAATATTTGTTTTGTTGTTGTCATTTGCAGAAGGAAAAGCAATGGCAACTGCCTACGATTGCAAATTTATAGAGACATCGGTGGGAATCAATCACAATGTTGATGAATTACTGGTGGGCTTATTATCGCAAATTCGTTTAAAATTGGAAAATCCCGAGAAGTCTAGGTAAGTAATAATATTCCTTGGTATATATGGAAAACTACAGCCTGTATATGTATGTACATGGAAAGAAATGTTTCTTTCGCTTTCAATGCCAAAGAAAATCAATTTTGGTCTATATAACAACATATTATAGGCAAAATGAGTCGAACCAAGGTGTATTTAATAAAACGAATCCCCTAAATAAACATACTGTTGTATTACCGAAGCATAATGGCACAATTAAAAATTCGTTCCTTTTTCCGGTACGTTTTGGGACCAACATAGAATGGGTTCATTGAAAACATTACAGTATTTTCCGATTACCCATTTATCCGATACCCGCTTAATTGAATTTCAATTACAGAAATCACACATAATTGCACATATGCGCATTTTAAGTGTAAGAGTACGTTTCGTTTTCATTTCCAATGTTATTGTCAAACACAATTTCAAAACCTTTCGCTTTTTTCGCGGTTTTTCTTTAGCAATAAACATATCGCTCATTTGCTGCAAGACAGGCATAACTCAAAAAGGCTTTATATGGGACAGAGGAACTTTTACACCTTCTCAATTAGAGTGTGTAAGAGATATTCATATGAATTGTTTACACAATATGAGGTCTATTATAGCGAACAATCGTGCAACATTAACTCGAAAATCATGTTTTTTGAATTATGCCTGTCTTGCAGCAAATGAGCGGTATGTTTTCAATTAGTAGAGATGCCACCTAGTGTTTTTCACGAATGATGTCAAATATGTATGTAAAAATGATTTTTCAATAATAATGCAATTATTTTTCAATAATGATGCAATTAACCGGTGAAAAATAAGAGAAAATTTATTTTTGATGACATGAATTTTGAACCAATTAAGCGGGAAAAACAATTAACAAGGTTTAATTATCCGAGGAAATGTACATGTATTTTCGTATGCAATATTTTCATGTGGTTCAATTAAGCGTGCAAACCAATTTATTGTAGGCTGAATTAACCGAAAAATACTGCATTTGAAGTGAATACCCTAATATACTCTGACAGCTCTGACAAAACAAGTTAAGCACTTACAGCCCTACCTAAAATTCATACATTCCCCGAGTCATAAAATTAAGTATTGGTTATTATTCACACAAAATCTAACATATCATGTTTAGTGTCCATTATTAAAACATCCATACTTATTAGTTGCCCAGGTCCGCTTCAAATGTAACATTTTATGGATTTCGAGTCATACTTGTGTCCCCAAGAGTAACCAAACCTTTCATTACCATAAACTATGGGTGCTGTGTTTTACCAGAACCGAACCTAAATGCGAAATATCAGGACGATTGGTTCATAACTGCGGACAGAAGTATGATGAACTGGCACACATGACTGATTGATTCAGCCAATTCACCAATCTACCAATCCCTTATACGAAAGGGTGGGTATAGGGCAAACATTTCGTGGCGTTATAAACACATTTTCAGCGTGCAAGTTGAAATCACTCCACCGCCATTTTATTCCATTTACAAATACGGATTTTCATTTTAATGATTTCAAAAAAAGAATTAAAAGTCAAAGCGAATTAATTAAAATTCGCTTTGTTTGCCGTTTTGACATATCATGTTCCCAATTCGCCGATGCTGCTCCCTTATATATCTACCTTGACGTCGACATACGAATTTTCAAAGTTGAACAAATTCAACTATGACAGAACGTATTTTTGTTTTTTCATTTCATGAGGCCCGTCGTACCTAAATTCAGTGCGTTGCGTATTAAAATACCAACCTTCTCACCTTTATAGGGTTTGTTGAACGTCCGTATTACCCAAATACGCAAGGATGAAAATATTTTCTCATGTATAAAAAAACAAATTTTTCAATGACTGGAATTCTATTTTCAAAAAACAAAAAATCCAAAATACGCTTTGTCAATGTTGAAAATTTTCAACTTTATATTTTTATACGCAATGCGTATATGGGTAACATTCATTGAAATACATGTATTTAACTTTTGAGGTGAATAAAATCGTATGCATGAACCCTGAAATAAGAAACAGAATATGAAGAAAATATGAATTTTTCAAAAAAAAATATGAAGTAATTGGACAAATTTTATAATTTTTCAAGTTTTTCCTCGATTTTGTTTAGTTTGCTGAGAGATATGGACCCGACGTATTTTGGTAATACGGCCGTACACTACGTTTCGCCATAGTGGGGAAGTTGAATATTTTTGTACGCCTCGTTGGCAACGTTGTTACACTTTAACCGAAGGCAGATGTATTAGGTAGTCGCATCGACCCAGTTGTTTGTAACATTGAATGTCAAAACAAATTGTTGTAATTTTAATTCACCTAAAATACATAAATAAAATAAATTTTTGAAAATAAAATTAAAATTTCGTGACTTTTTCAAATTTTACTGTAAACCAATCAATACCAAAACAAATAAAAGTCGTCTTAGACAAGAACCGAATCTACATGCAAAATCTCCAGAATTTAACAATGGAAATTATTGAAATATGCCGGTACAGAAAATTTGTTTTCAGATGATAATTGTTTTCAATCGACATTTGACTCGGGTTGTGATAATCAGATTTCAAATTATAAAGGACGGACGAACACACATGACTAGAACGATTCTAGAATCAATATATCTATCTAGAATAAATATATCGTGCAGCTACAAACTCTTGAGGCAACACATACTTATAACATAGAGGTGTAGGGCATAAAAACATTTTGTTCTGATTGGTTGAATCCATTTTGCTACATTTTTAAATGTCAAGGCGAAATGAGTTTTATTTGCCTTGTTTACAAAATTTGATATATAATTGGAATGTTCCCGTACAGCAAGAATCTACTCGATTTTACTATTTTCTTCGATATCACAAAGAAAAATTCGTTGTCGTGGTAAAAAGTAGTAGATTCTTGCAGTACGGGAACAGACCAAATGTTACCAAAAAAGTTGCTTTGTTGTAGTAATTCGCCGATGCGACTACCTTATGTATGTGCCTTGTGTAAACCTATACTCTTTCTTGGCAAATTGGGTTTATGTACGACGAATATGCTCTCATCATAAACTTTCGAATGAATTGTAAAATCGCGAACTATGTATCAAAATTCTTACAAATACTGAACATTTTCATTTGACATTTTTTAATATTCAAATTTGTGATTGGATTTTTATTTTTCATTTGACTCATTTATATGTAATAGATAAACAGTCTGTTAAATATTATCTCTAGTTGTTTGCTAGTTCCCTCCCAGCTCAAAACAAGTTCCTTGCAATTATATTATATATACAGCCTACCTTCGTTATAACGAATGATATATTGACAGACATTTTTAAGGTGCAATTATGATTTAAAAATAATAATCTCATCACATAATAATGTAAAAAGACTAATTATATAAAAAACAAAATGGAATCGATGAAATAAATGTTTATTAATACAAAATATGGCATGTCAACTGTATTCCTATCTTTCTACACAGAGATATGTTTCGCAAGCGTTCCATTAGAAAATCCAAGCGGCGAGCCTGTTCACCGCTGAGTGGTGCATGTTTAAGCAGTAATGCTAATGCAAATACCCCACTGGGGCCAACTACCAATGTACTATCGGATATAAGTACACCGCCTGGAAGTGCTCATAGCAGGTAAGGAAACTTATTTACTTGTAATATATTTTGTAAAAAACCCTTGGGGTCAATAAGAGTTTTTTACAAGATAGTAATACAATATGGATATGCTTTTAGTGCCTATTCCCGTAGTTGTTCATTGACACTGACACCTTGGCTGTTAATCAAAATTGGCTGTTACATTGGAAGCGGAGTGAGTGAGCGAAACTTGCAAGCAATGCAGCATCACTATCGCTCTCTCACTCCCTTCAAAATAGGCTTTTGCGGATGGAATAAAGAATTGAAATGGATTTTGAGTAACAGTAACGTCCGTCATTTCTATAAATAATACTTCAAATTTTGTGATGCGACATTTGAAACGTAAACAGCCAAGAACCTCAGCCTAAAAGGAAAACACACATACGATGACTTCAGGCGTGGCATGTAAAGTTGGTTTTGTTTAGCAGAGAAGAATAAAAGAGAACGGCGTCCAAAATCAAAGTGGTCTCTTATATTCCTTAATTAAATTCGCATTGCATATTATACCAACTTAACATGCCATGCCTAAATCCTCGTATGTGTTCCCTCTTAAGAGCCAAGCCATTTTACAGCCAGTTTCAGTCATTCGGTGTTGCTTTGATAACGTTTACTCGCGAAGTCCTGCAAAATAAAAACATACATTATGAGGTAATTTTAAAACTTTTCTTTTTTCAGCCCAAGAAAGTATCGAGGTTCTCGTACGTCAACCAGTCTCAAAGTCAAAGGACTTTTGGGTCGAGTTTGGGCAAGGGATTCCAAATCGAAAAGCTGTGAAAATTTACACGTTTTGTAAACGCAGACATCCATACAGCCAATATACACCATGCACAAATTGGAAAGAATGTCAAACATTACTCTTCCAGTCGAATGATGCAGCATCTTTGCACCTTTTCCTACGTTAGTAATAGAGAATCTGGCGCTCGAGTATACTGGAGAAACAATACATTCCTTCGATACGACCTCACACCCGCGTCGAAAATAATTATAATCCAGTCAATGTAATTGTTCCCCAATACCTCAATACAATTTATCCCAGTACATCCAGCCTTAACACTTTATTTACCAGTGTATAAAAAGGTTACTAACATTACAAAACAAATGGGGAAGTCATCCTCAAAATGGGTCCACATCTACATAATAGGAATTAGGCGTAAAAATTACAACACGTACATATTACATTTTACACAAACTATTTTTGAAACTTCTTCCTATCTAGGTGTTGAGCAAATTATGAAAAACCAAACTATTAATAAATATGTACACCAGTTCTACACATGTTTTCTCTCGAATCTGGCCGGTATCGAGTATACAAGTATCAAAGCCCTCATCCGACACAATATCGCAAGAAAGATATATACAATTATCCAAAAGACACTAAATAATAAAAATAAACCGTATTACAAAACAAACATCCTATATCTTAAGAAACCCGTGTAAACAAATTTACATTCTAACCTTTACTAAAATATAAGCAATATGAATAAAAGACCTTTTCCAAATTGATTGTAATCGGAATTTGTTGAAAACACAAAACTATTTGTCCAGAAATGTTGATAGCATAGCCACTTTATTCGTATTTCTTAAGAAGTTACATTGTTGTAGACAATAGGATTTTTTTAATATGTATTAAGTCCAGAAATTGCACATTGCATCCACAATATGGCACATTTCGTTTTGGTATCTATCTATTTTTAATTGTTAATTATAAAACTTAAAACTATAATAGGGAGCATGGACGGCTATGTAAGGGTACACTAGTCAATGCCATAAGGCCCCAAGCCCCAAGCATTTGTATACGTATGTATGTCATTTGAAGAATGCACATTTCAAGAAATACATATTTTCACTTTTGTTGACCATTTTCCGACAAAACCATAACTCAATATTTTCGTGTGTGTGTTCCGTTTTCGAACTTATAGACAATTTTCAAAGTATTCTCAAATTTATTTATAATTCAAATTCAATGTTACAATATTCGTAGATAAAAATTCGCAAGTTTGGGAAGAAAAGGCAATCTCATCATATTTGCAACACAGTATTTTCAGAAAATCTACACATTCCACCCAGTTGTCTGTCTGTCACAGACCTGTGGCCTATTCAGTTTGATTCAATTTGGGCAATTGTTGTGGTAGTTAGAGAGATTTGAAACTGAACTTTTAATATTTGGTAATGGGAACCATTCGATCGAGACTTAATTTTTTGATGCACATTGTTCTCAAGATATGGCTAATGGTATTACAACTTATATTTATAGATTATAGAGGCTGGAAACTACAAAAATATAAACAATATTAATAATTTGCTCATTTTTGCCACTACACACATGTTGAACGTAGATTTCGATAGGGGATATTCTCATTTCAATTTTGAAAGCTGAATGTTGACAAAATTAAAAATATAAAAAAAATTAATTATGACATGGAACTATAATTTATTATAAAAAGCGGACTTATATTTTGTCTTCCCTTTGACAAACCGAAACATTTTAATTCGTTAGCTGGTTTTGAAATTTGAATTTAGGGTGTAGGATGGGGCTATGTATGAAGTTTTGGAAATTGATACTGATGTGTTCTAAATGGTACAAATTTGGCGAAGCGATCGGTCTGAGATCCTGGAATTTAGAAATAAGATTTCTATTGGTTTATATTAATGTGGTACTACAAGAGTACGAAAGGTAATAAATGGTACCAAAATTAGTATGGAACTAGATTTGTGTTGCGGTGAGAATCAGTGTGCTGTGTTCAGACATGTATGTAGTTTTCGAAATACATACTATGTATAAGATAACAAAGGAACTAAGTGGTACTAACATTTTAATTATAGTCAATATTGGTGTGTATGTTGATTAGCTTTAGACATGTTTAAATAATTCTCACATGCGCTAACGAAGTAGTGGGCATATGCTAGTAATACCATACAATGATAAAAACAAAAAAGCAACTCTGTACTGGTCAAATATAAAGTGAATATACGCAACAGATTGTTGTTTCATCTCTAACATTGTATTTTCATCCATGGTTTTCATTTCATTTAAATTTGAATATATTTCAATTTTTATTTGAGTTTATTTGACATAGTATTCACACATACAGAAACTAGGCCATGTCGCGAATTCATTCCTTAGTCTTCTCTAATACGCAATGATATGGACACACAATTTGTTTTTAGATTGCCAAATTTTTATTTTTTATCCGATTAAATTGAAAATTTACACTTAACATGCTACATGTGTTGTCTTTCCATGTATCAATTTGAAAATAATATTATTCTAACAATTTAAGAGATATTTGAGAAAATATTTGAAATCCCATAAAAAGTGTAAAAAAATTTATTTTCACATAAACAGATGACAGTGCTGGCCTTTTTTCATGCAGAATCAAGGTATACCACATTACCTACACTTGTGTTTACTGAAGAAAGTTTTTTTTCCAAATTGGTGATTATGTGGTGCAATCGCGCATATTATTTGATTTTTAGTTCATACTGATTATTTTAATGCTTTAGTAATAACGATTAAACTACATCCGTAAAACAAAAAAAATTTTTTAAACTTCAACCGAAAAAAAGTAAATTTCATGAAAATTTTTATTTTTGGTACTGATTCTCAACGTGATTTAAATAAATTAAACAGGTCATATCTTATTTTTTTGAGAACAGCAAACTATAGAACATGTTTCAGTTATTCTAACATTTTCAGTTTACAAAAAAAGTGACTATACCACATTACCAACCTATACCACATTTGCATCACTTCCACTAAGTGTCACATTACATGTATTTAACATAAACAGAACATACAGAAGTAATTCCAAAACACTTCATTTGTAATTTGAGAAGTGCAATTGTAATTCAAGTTATTTCAATTGTAAGTCGTAACATGTCACTAGAAAGTTACTCCATTTGTAATTGTTAAAAAAATATATGAAATCAATGAAACTTAAAATTACATGTGAAAAATATGCAGAAAGATTGAAAGAAAATTAGTCGATATTAATGTTTTTACTATGTTATCATTGTACAGTGATACAATACAATGATAATAACAAAAAAATCAACTGTGTAGGTATATATATATATTTGTGGGGGCCATTAATAGAATATTACTGGAATATTTCTCTTCACTGTCACCTAAAAGACAACATAATTTCTTGCCGTAGTGTTGTTCAATATGAAATATATTACCCTTTGCCCATAAACCTTGCAGAGACACATTCGGAGAATTTCAATTAGCTTTTAATGTAAGTATCTATGCGCCACACATGGAATATGCATTTTGATTATCTTTCGGTTGCCGATTGCATTGAAGTTCTGATTTTGCAAAAAATATTACATTGGCCATCTACAATGTGCGTTTTGGACTGATTATAAATGATTTGTTGCACAATGGAATTAACAATAAAAACTAAACAAATTCGTATAATATAAGGTAAGCATTAAGTAATAACAAATTCGAAATTTACATTTTATATTACATTAGAACTACTCTCAACAACAGAGTTTATAGATGTAAGTGTCGTTTTCTTTTTTCTTAGTACCGTGTTTCCTCAGATACAAATGAAACTAAATTATTATACATTTATTGTACGTAACTGTCGTTTTTGCTAAACTTATAGAAATATATACAAATAATAAAAATTATTTACAAAGTGTTAATAAATTTAAAAAAAATGTGTGTTTTTTTTGTTATTTCAAGGACAAGTAGCTAACTTATTACAAGAATCGTAGAATAACGCAATTTCAGATGTTATTCAAATTATTTAAATTGCAACTTTGATGATTTCATTCTAAAACAATTCACTTGAAATTCAAATGATCCCATTTGAATTCTTAACCAATTCTACGTAGGGGAGACTGGGGCACCTTCGGCAATCGCGTTTCGATATGAAGCTCTCACCACCGTACATCACTAGTTTCGATACATAGGTATCGAATATCGAAATAAATCACTGACACAAATTTTGAAATTTCTAGCTAATAAGCTTATTTAGATACATAGGTTTTTGTATTTTTATAGATGTTTCTGTAATATATCAATTTCATTTCGTAAGTATTTCGTGTATAAAACTTTTTAAATTTTTAAGACAATATTATTAAAAAGCGGGTAACTACGATGTGTATTATTATAAAAATATTCAAAAATATAATGTTTTTACAAAACTGATAAAAAATGAAAAAAACTATAAAAAGTACATTCGGGGTACATTCGGCATTTTAAAGTGGGACACATTCGGCCATATATAGATTGTGCGATATTATTTCCTTAAAATGTTTTTGAGTTTGTCCTTAAAACTAATCCTTTAATATGGTTCGAAATTGCATATATAAGATCAAACGTGCTTGTATTGACGAAAATGCGATAGAAAATCCCTATTTCTGATGGTGTGTGCGACCTTGAGATGTAAACGTCCGCCGTTAGAAAATAAAGCCCTATAATTCAAACATTGTGTGGCATATTAAAACCAAATAGACCCTTTAGAGGTTCAGAATTTCAACCAGATTGATAGCGATGACAATTACCCGGCTATGACTATGGTGCCATCAAATGCCGAAGCTACCCCGGGTTTGACTTTTTTTACAAAACTGTAAAATTTTTAACTAATACTATTTTTTGATATCTTTTTTGTACTATTTTTTATAATTAAGTGTCAGAGGACAATAATCAGCCATAAAGTTGTTATATATGGTGAATAAGTACTGAGATATAAAGCTCTAAAAAAGTGCCGAAGGTGCCCCAGTCTCCCCTACTTCAGTTAAAATTTATATTCAGCCTTATTCTAGATATTTGTTAAGGAGAGATCTCGCTTGT